TTGCTTTCTTTAATTTACTTAAGGGCGAGAGAGGCGAGAAACAGTGGTGTGGTTTTGCGCCTGCCACAGTGGCAGGGCGGGGCGGGCCATTGGGGTGAGCTGTTTGTTTTTGTTTAAGTATTGTATAGTTTAGACTTTATTAGCAATTTTCGCTCACTTTTTAAAGCAGCCTGTTCTGAGGGGGGATTGTGCCCTTGACTCGAAGCCAGATGGCCGAAATGAGTGAAGTGAAAGACCCCCAGATTGACCAAGGTTCTGAGGATGAATTTGGCTCAGTGCAAGGTGACAGCACCTGCTTACCAAGGGTGCGAAAATGGCAGCGGTATGGAGGAACTTCGCTGAACGGTGAGTACGGAAGCCATTGGAACGCATTAAACCAAGTTTAATGCGTTCCAATGGCTTTTTGCTTTCCATTTAACGAAGTTTTCACATAGCGAAGGTTAATCCGGAACGGATTAATCTCGCTATGCGAGGCACCACTGTATGTATGTATGTATGTATGTATGTATGTATGTATGTATGTATGTATGTATGTATGTATGTATGTATGTATGTATGTATGTATGTATGTAGAAAGAAAGAAAGAAAGAAAGAAAGAAAGAAAGAAAGAAAGAAAGAAAGAAAGAAAGAAAGAAAGAAAGCAAGCCCATGATCCAACCAAACACAACTACGAGGATGGTGGGATGAAGAAAATGGCCTCTCTTTATGACCTGAACAGCCAGGCAGGTTCATTTAAATCAGATAAATAAATAAAACATCATTTTAAATAATTCTCTGAAATGTATTTTTTTGCAATGTAATGAAAATGGCAATCTATACAGAGCAGGGGAACAGAGATGTCACTGCCATCCTATTTAAATATCTAGCTAGGCAACAATGAGATATTTCTGAGGGCATTCAAGAACTCACCTTTCATCTGACATTCATGCAGAATTTACATGCCAGATATCTTTGCACTGTAGTTTAAATTTTTTTGTGTGTTTTCTTCTCTTTTCTAATTGTTACATCTTTCACTATGGCCCCTAAATTCCATGTACCAGTAAAACCCGTGACTTCACACATTGGACTGGGTCCTGCTCCCACAATGGTGTGCCAACCAGAAGACCATGCTTTGCTGTGCAGGATTGTGATTGCAGTTTTGTATTGACAGATGCTTCTATTGGACAGGGTTTCCGAAGTGGAATGGGTTTTGTCATCTAATTACATGCACTTAAAATAAGAGGTGCGTGGTGGCGCTTCGGGTTAAACTGCAAAGGCCTCTGTGCTGCAAGGTCAGAAGACCAGCAGTCGTAAGAGCGAATCCACATGACGGAGTGAGCTCCCGTCGCTTGTCCCAGCTCCTGCCAACCTAGCCATTCGAAAGCATGTAAATGCGAGACGATAAATAGGTACCACCACGGTGGGAAGGTAACAGTGTTCCATGTCTAGTCGCACTGGCCACGTGACCATGGAAACTGTCTTCGGACAAACGCTGGCTCTATGGCTTGGAAACGGGAATGAGCACCGTGCCCTAGAGTCAGGCACAACTGGGCTAAATGTCAAAGGGAACCTGTACCTTTACCTAAAATAAGGGTGTGGTTGAATTACAGCTCCTTTCTCCTCTTATTAATCCTTAAGATATCTGTAATAACAGAAATAGAATCAGTGGGTTCATTAGAACATGCTTCACATGAAATTCAGGACTGCTATGATCACCACCCTGATCACCACCACCATTTGAGCTTTGCATGAAAGGGTTAATCCTAGAATGAAAGTAGACTATCAGTAACAAGGTTTTCATAACTTATTCGGCCATCTCCTTTTAAGTGTTTTTACTGTTGCAAATATTCCAGGCAATTCCAAAATTTGTTAGTTCTGTACAGGTTCTATTTATTTGCATCATTTCTAAGTTCCATACTTAAAAACATATTCAAGAAGTATCAAAGAGTCTTATAGTTGTGAGAAAAACTGTCGGCACGTATGCTTAAATCCAAAAGTCATGCAGTTATGCAAAAACTAGCCTTAAAATATTTTAAAATTCATAAAAACTGAACTTGAGCTTGGAACAAATACTTAAGTCAGAAAATACATCTCAGTTGTAAATTTATAGCTGTGCAAAGACCAGACAAGAACATTAGTCATGTTTAAATCAAAAATACAAAAACATTAAAACACAGCTCATAGCCTACAAAGACAGAGAATACATCTCTATATTTCATTTAAAGGTAAAAAAGGAATATAACGCCAACACATAACTTGAAAACACATTAAAGAACATTAGAGTTCTTATAATAAGAAAATACAAAACAAAGTATTATTTAGCTCCAAGTATGATGTTAACACAGAGAAATAGAATTTCTCACCAAGCCTTTAGTCAGTTGGAATAAATAGCTATGTTATATCCATGGGTTATCTCCCGGCGCTCTCAAACTGTCCGTGAGACTAAGCTTGTCTTTTCCACTATGTTCAGATAGAAAATTCCTCCTTTATATATCAGTGTGTGAGAGCTCACAATTTATTGCCAAATGCCACATCAGAAATCAAAACCACCTTTGTCATAGGCTGGCTCCCTTAACCAATAAGAGGCTCAGTTGTTGAAGATCTGCTCATTCCAGATAGAGTGAAGTCCAGTTCTTGGCCCGTTCAAGCCTTGGCCAGAGTAAAAACCTTCTTCCCTTGTTAGAATAACATGGGTTACTGACAATACAGTGCATTAGTAACACTACAATACATATTTCATTCTCTGTCTCTACTTCCTTGTTCTATAAACAAACTGCTTAAAGTCACTTTAATATTTTTATAAAATCACTTTTACATTTTATAACTTTTACACTATTTTAGAAAACCTTCTATTTTACAATTCACTGTTATTCTCCTTTGTTTAACATAGGTTTCCACATCTATTTTGTGATACCCTTCTTAATTAATATTATAAGTGAAACAACTCATGCAGCAGTTTCAAATGCATTTCTATTTTGTTGTTGTATCTTTCACATAATATAAGCATTCCACTGTTTGCCTTTTTCACTGCAAAAACTGACACACAATTGAATGAGCTACGACTGCCTTGTTAACTTTTTGTACCAAAACAAAAAGTTGTTTCGGTTTTGTAATATAAGCTATATTCACAGAGCAAGTTTTCAACTGTACAAAGCGTCATTTGAAAATAACGTTTAATTTTTAGCGCAACACCTCTGCATCCCTAAAATTTAATTCTTTAAACTCTAACAGTTCCAGTTCAGTTACAAGAGAACTGACACCTCTCTGTTCATTTACATTACGTTATGTAGACTTTCAGACAAACAACAAGGAACATGCCACTCAGCATCCAACACATGCCTCTTGCATAGAAAGGAGTATCCGGTGAGATAATTAATCCCCTTAATGTATCAGCTAGTATGACTGTTGTTCCTTTTTATCTAGTCTTTCTTTTCACATAACCTATGGCGTTTGTCAGAAACCTGGCTCCATATAGATTCTTGAGAATTCTTGATGCCTCTGACCCTGAGCACGTGAAATATGTCCATAGCATTCCTACATGGAGGCCCTCATGCATCAGGTTATTACTCCATGCTCTTCCTCCTGACTTGAATTAAAGCCCAAGCATTGATAGGATTCTACCTTCTCTCAGCTAAACCTAACCGGGCATTCACTACATCAAAACGTTAGTAAATAAATAAATCCACTGTCTGCAAGCACCTGGAGCCTCTTCAGCACAACACAAGCAAGCAGCCTCCCTACAACACTGAGAGATTTATTTATTTATTTATTTATTTGATTTTTGCCCTGCCCCTCTAGACAATTTCTACTTGCTTAAAGGTGAGTTTTAAGCCCATAGGAATGCATTGAAGGAGTTTCAGTGCATTCCTATGGGCTTTTAAAAACCGCATAGCGACGAAATCGCTTTGCAGTGATTTTTGCTGCACAGATTATCGTCGCTACGTGGGGCACCACTGTACTCTAAATATAGCACATATACTATATATATTTATGTTTATAAAAAATTAAGTACAGTAGATCCTCGACTTACGAAGGTCCCTACTTATGAAAATTTCAAGGTACAAAAAGCTCCGGCCACAAAATTTGGGTTCGACTTGTGCCCGGAGCTTTGACCTACAAAAGGCAGGGGAAAAGGGCAGGAAATTCACAGCTGCTCCGCGCCCCGACCTCTGCGCCCGCTGCTGGCTTTCGGCTTGCCAGGCTTCCAAAGCTGCACCCACTGCCCTGTTCTCTCCTCTCCCCAGAGCCCTCTGCCTCCTGTTGCCGTGAGGAAAGGAGGCAGATGACACCGGTGACAGAAGGCAGAGGGGGCAGCTTTCGAAGCCCTGGATTTTTTTCTTTGGCAGAACAGACAGTGTCTGTGAAGCAACCAACATGAATTTGACACAACCCCGGGAGGCAGTGGAGGATAGGAGGGCCTGGCGTGCTCTGGTCCATGGGGTCACGAGGAGTCGGACACAACTAAACAACAACAACATACATTCTTACAGGAAATGGACCCTCAACCTATGACTTTTTGACCTGCAGCCACCGTTCCAATACGAATTACTTCCGTAAGTTGAGGGTCCACTGTAATACAAATTCATTGGCACCCTCTTTAAAATTCATTACTATTATTAATTAGAAGGGTATAAATATTTATAAAACAAATGACAGGTTCTCTCTCTTCACTACTTGCCTTTCTTTCATCAGTTAGCCTTAGAACATAAATCTTTTTCTCTTTTTACACTAATTTTGTAAAAGGCTCCATTGTACAATATATGCTTCTCATGTTTTCAGCAAAAAGTTCCACGTCTATTTTGTGGTATATCTCTGTTAATAAACGATAGAAGTAAAACACATAACAAGTGACACTTCAAAATTCACTGCACTTTATCTCTTTTTCTCTGTGTTTTGTACTGAGTCAGCTTTTGGTTGATTAATCTTTCCACTGGAAACCTGCACAAAGCTGAATGAGCTTCTTATGCCATGTTTAATTATCAGGAGCTCTTACTAAAGCTCTTTCCACATTCCACGCATTTATGTGGCTTCTCTCCAGTGTGAGTCCTTTCATGTTTCCTAAGGTCACAATTCTGACTAAAGCTCTTTCCACATTCTATGCATTTATGTGGTTTCTCCCCAGTGTGAGTCCTTTCATGTTTCCTAAGGTCACAATTCTGACTAAAGCTCTTTCCACATTCTATGCATTTATGTGGTTTCTCCCCAGTGTGAGTCCTTTCATGTTTCCTAAGGTCACAATTCTGACTAAAGCTCTTTCCACATTCTATGCATTTATGTGGTTTCTCCCCAGTGTGAGTCCTTTCATGTTTCCTAAGGTCACAATTCTGACTAAAGCTCTTTCCACATTCTATGCATTTATGTGGTTTCTCCCCAGTATGAGTCCTTTGATGTAACCTAAGGGCATCACTGCGACTAAAGCTCTTTCCACATTCTACACATTTATGTGGCTTCTCCCCCGTGTGAGTCATTTCATGTTTCCTCAGGATAGCACTCTGACTAAAGCTCTTTCCACATTCCATGCATTTGTACGGTTTCTCCCCAGTGTGAGTTCTTTCATGTTTCCTAAGGTCACAACTCTGACTAAAGCTCTTTCCACATTCTATGCATTCATGTGGTTTCTCCCCAGTGTGAATCCTTTCATGTTTCCTCAGGATAGCCCTCTGACTAAAGCTCTTTCCACATTCCATGCATTTGTACGGTTTCTCCCCAGTGTGAGTTCTTTCATGTTTCCTAAGGTCACAACTCTGACTAAAGCTCTTTCCACATTCTATGCATTCATGTGGTTTCTCCCCAGTGTGAATCCTTTCATGTTTCCTCAGGATAGCCCTCTGACTAAAGCTCTTTCCACATTCCATGCATTTGTACGGTTTCTCCCCAGTGTGAGTTCTTTCATGTTTCCTAAGGTCACAACTCTGACTAAAGCTCTTTCCACATTCTATGCATTCATGTGGTTTCTCCCCAGTGTGAATCCTTTCATGTTTCCTCAGGATAGCCCTCTGACTAAAGCTCTTTCCACATTCCATGCATTTGTACGGTTTCTCCCCAGTGTGAGTTCTTTCATGTTTCCTAAGGTCACAACTCTGACTAAAGCTCTTTCCACATTCTATGCATTCATGTGGTTTCTCCCCAGTGTGAATCCTTTCATGTTTCCTCAGGATAGCCCTCTGACTAAAGCTCTTTCCACATTCCATGCATTTGTACGGTTTCTCCCCAGTGTGAGTTCTTTCATGTTTCCTAAGGTCACAACTCTGACTAAAGCTCTTTCCACATTCTATGCATTCATGTGGTTTCTCCCCAGTGTGAATCCTTTCATGTTTCCTCAGGATAGCCCTCTGACTAAAGCTCTTTCCACATTCCATGCATTTGTACGGTTTCTCCCCAGTGTGAGTTCTTTCATGTTTCCTAAGGTCACAACTCTGACTAAAGCTCTTTCCACATTCTATGCATTCATGTGGTTTCTCCCCAGTGTGAATCCTTTCATGTTTCCTCAGGATAGCCCTCTGACTAAAGCTCTTTCCACATTCCATACATGGATACATTTTCTCCCCTGCATGTGTTCTTTGATGTCTATTGAGGTGAAATGCATTTACGTGGTTTCTCCCCTGCGTCGGTCCTTTCATGGGAAGGCCATGTATGGCCATTCCTATTTTCTGTTCTCTGTTTTCTTGCTTGATTATGAATTCTGGCCTGGGTTCCTCCAGATGTTAGTGGGTAATTCTTCTCCTGTTCATCATCTGGTAGATTAGAAAAAGAAGAGAAACAACTACTTCCAAAATCTGCAGGAATAAGGAACAATGTATTCCTGTATTGGCGAAGGCTATACTGGGATCTAATGGTTGTTGTGGTTTTTTCGGGCTCTTTGGCCGTGTTCTGAAGTTTGTTCTTCCTACCGTTTCGCCAGTCTCTGTGGCCAGCATGTATTCCCTCTCCTCCTGAGTCACCGAGGATGACAGCCAAATAGGCGAGGGAAGAGAACCAGGGAGGGGATGATGCCAGACCGGAGGATGTTCCTTTGGGCTTGAGGTTGGAAGGGCTCTACAGTGAGGGACCTTTTGGAGGGAGGAGTCATGAAGGGAGGATCATTTTCACACCCAAGTAAGTATATCAAATTCAAAGTATATTAACTTTTTTTCCTTCTCAAACTCTCCCCAATTATTGTTTCCAGAAAATTAGAAAGGAATTTCTCAAAGTTGATCAAAGAGGAAACCAATATTTGAATTAAAGGATTTTTTAAAGCAAAACTGAATAACAAGGGGAAGAAGGACAGTGCTGGAAAGGAAGTGTAAAAGCGGATGAAAGCAGCTAGATTATTAGACTCGAGAACTAGTAAAGAGAAGTTACTGGTAGATGCCGGGAACTAACAAAGTCTGCAGAGACTATTATTCAGAGGGCGAAGAGAAAGGACGGGTCCACGAAAGGGATGGTTTCGTAGAATTTATAAAATGCTATTATGGGTAAAGAATCATCAGGCATTTCTGAAAATAGGATAGGAAGCAGAGATGGTGAGGGAAATAGGTACTGAGGTAATAGAATCTTAGAACTGCAGAGCTCGAAGGGAAGTGAACTCCGAACTTCTGGCTCCAGAGTTAGATGTCTAAACCAATGTGTATGGAAAGGGGGGGAGGGAAGAATTTGATAAAACACATCTGTGAGAATAAAAGCAAAAATGTATTCAATGAAGGTATTTTACTCCAGCTAAATTAAATACAAAATAGGTACTGAGGTAATAGAATCTTAGAACTGCAGAGCTCGAAGGGAAGTGAACTCCGAACTTCTGGCTCCAGAGTTAGATGTCTAAACCAATGTGTATGGAAAGGGGGGGAGGGAAGAATTTGATAAAACACATCTGTGAGAATAAAAGCAAAAATGTATTCAATGAAGGTATTTTACTCCAGCTAAATTAAATACAGTAGTGCCTCGCTTAGTGATTGCTCCGCATAGCGAAGAAATCGCTTCAAAACTAGGGAGCAAAGCAGAACTGAATGTGGTTGGAAAATTTGGCTTGGGGGACAGAAATCAAGCAGGAGAATGTCTCTTAGAATGATGTGGAGCCAGAGGTTTGTTTATTACAAATACATGTTTCAAACAACCAAACAGGTGTCTGTACATGAGAACTTAACCAGATAGCCAACATAGAAATCAAATTATGTAACTGGAAGTAGGAGATGGAGAAGCTGTATTATCTCTGCCAAAACAAGACCAGGAGCAAATTGTGGTACTGATCATATGCTGTTAATATCCAGCATTAGAGTAAAACTGAAAAAGAACACAAGAAGAATCATAGTACCAAAATAAAATCTAAACATTCTTGATTAATTTACAGTAGTACCTTGGTTTACGAAATTAATACGTTCTCTGGAACGTTACGTAATGCAAAAGTTTCATAAACCGAAACAAGAATTGCCATAGCGATGGTGGCGGCACTACAAACCTCCAGGCACAGGAAAGTTCCTTCACAAAGCGAAAGAAGCAGGGAAAAGGACATTTAAACCAAGGCATTATTTCGAACTGATTTCCATTCGTAAACCAGAAATTAGGTAAAACTAAGGTGTACATAAAACAAGATAATGCTGTACCTCAAAGGTATTGTTCTTGGAAGTGCTACCTTTTAAATGCACAGGGCAGGCTATTTATTTATTTATTTAATTTATACCCTGCCCATCTATAAATTTATAAATTTATACCATAACAATAAAAAGAAGAATAAAAAGAATATAATAAAATAGAAAACAATAGTAATATAGATCAAGATGGAAGGGGGAAAAATCAAGTGATGACAGGAGGGAAAGCCTTCCTAAAGAGCCAGGTCTTAAGTTTGCTCATAAAAACATCCAACGAAGGAGTCAGAGAGATCTGTGGGGGCAGACTGCTCCAAAGGTGAGGGGCCACTGCTGAAAAGGCCCGGTTTCTTCTTCTTTCTCTGTGTTAGACCCCTCAGTCACCCTTCCTGGCTGGAATGAGTGATTTGGGTAGATCTAGGTGGGAAGAGGTGTTCTTCTAGATATCAAGGTCCTGAACCGTTTAGGGCTTTATATGTCATCATTAACATTTTGAAATCAATACGGAAATGAACAGGCAGCCAATGCAAGGCAGCCAGAGTGGGGGAAATATGCTGATATTTTCTTGTCCCACTGAGATGTCTGGTCACCACATTCTGCACCATTTGAAGCTTCTGCATCAATTTCAAAGGTAGCCGCATGCAGATCGCATTACAGTAGTCTAATCTTGAGATTACAAGCGCATGGACCAGAGTGGTGAGCACCCCAACGTCCATATAAGGACACAGCTGGGCAATCTGCCACAGGTGGAAATAGGCAGAGCGGACCACTGACACCACCTGGGTTTCCATGGTGGGTGGTGGATGCAAGCTCCGAACCTCACTCTTTGCGGTGAGAGTCACTCCCACAAAAGAGAAAAGGAGATATAGAGCTGGGTGTCATCAGGCAGGTGGAGATCAGGGGTCTCCACACGTGGATAAGACAATGTTGTCAAGGGGAGGGGTTTAGATTCATTTGGCACTTGGGAATTTTTTGGGACAAGGAGGGCTTGTACAAGAGGGACAGCCTTCACTTGAATGAACACGGAACTGAACTGCTGACGCGTAGCATTAAAAAGGTGGCAGAGCAGCTTTTAAACTGAATCCCAGGGGAAAGCCGACAGGAGCCGAGCGTTCAGTTTGGGACTCCTCATCCCTGTAGAATGAGGACGGAGAGGGTTGAGAACCACAAAGTGATGGCAGTGTAGGAATTACGACTGGGAGTGTGATGGGATGGGATTGTTGGTCTACTGGAAGGAGAAGCAAACAAGCTGCCCTTCTTAGGGGACCCCCATACGCAGGTGCTTTTAGCCAAATACCTGAAGCGTCTGAGCAAAGATGAGAGAACTGGAACATTTTATTTATTTAACTTTTTTATTTACTTCACTTTTATTTGGAGGATAAATGTAAGATTGATAGAGTGGCCATAACAGAAACCTAGTGGGTTTTGGACACCCAGCGGGATACCGCAATCCCAGATGATAAACTCCAGAGGAGGGACAGGGAGGGGCGTGTGGGAGGTGGGGTGGCCATCTTGGTCAAAATGGGGTTGAATCCAGCAGAATGGGGATGGACGGCAGGTCTGACTCCATCATGCAATCACTGTGGGTTAAACTGCCAGTCCCAAGGAGCAATGGGATAGTGGCTTGGGGGTTTGCTATCATCCTCCAGATCAAAAACTTGAGGGGGAAATGTTGGGAAAAACTTGAGGGGGAAAAATGGATATGCAGAGAGAAATCAGGGAAGTGTCCAAAAGGGACAGGATTGTAATCATGGGGAACTTCAATTATCCTCAGATCGCCTGGGCCAAGGCGTGCTCGGGTCAAGAAAGAGAGACCAGGTTTCTAGACATGCTAAATGACTAAGTCTTGGAGCAATTTCTCATGGAGCCCAACAGAGGACAGGTGACTCTGGACGTAATATCATGTGGTTCTCCGGATCTGGTTAGGGACGGGAATGTCACTGAGTCGCTAGGGAATAGTGACCGTGCTGCCATCTCTTTTGCATATTGGGGGGAGAGTGTCAAGCAAATCTGACACAAAAACCCTTGATTTCTGAAGGGTGGACCTCCCTCAGACGAGAAAGCAAGTAAGAAGTCGAAAGGGAGGTTTACAAAAAATATCTCAAGGGTGTAGTCTTTTAAAAACAACGGTAATAGAGACCCAATGGAAGTGTATACGGCAAAAAACAGGGGGTGGGGGCTCAACTAAGTCCAAGAAAGTGCCAGAATTGTTAACAAGCAAAGTTACAGAGGCCTTAACGGGAAAGGAGGGGTCCTTCCGTAAATGGAAATCCTTCCCAGATGAGGAAAATAAAAAGGATTTTATCAATTCTGGCAAAAGAAATGAAAGAAGATGATAAAAAAAAGGCAAAGAAAGACTTTGTGGAACATATGGCCAGCTATATATGGGGGAATAATAAAAGCTTCTTTAAATATGTTAGAAGCCGCCCAGAGTGGTAGAATATACAAGATAAGCGGGATATAAATTGAACAAATTAATTAATTAATTAATTAATTAAGAAGTTGGAAACTTGCCAGGTCAGGCACTCCCATTTCTTTAAGGACTTGCCATAGTTTGCTGTGGTCCACACAGTCAAAGGCTTTTGCATAGTCAATGAAGCAGATGTTTTTCTGGAACTCTCTGGTTTTCTCCATAATCCAGCGCATGTTAGCAATTTGGTCTCGAGTTCCTCTGCCCCTTCGAAATCCAGCTTGCACTTCTGGGAGTTCTCGGTCCACATACTGTTGAAGCCTACCTTGGAGGATTTTGAGCATAACCTTGCTAGCGTGTGAAATGAGTGCAATTGTACGGTAGTTGGAGCATTCTTTGGCACTGCCCTTCTTTGGGACAGGTATGTAGACTGATCTTTTCCTGTAAGTACAGTTGTGCATCAGAAACAAGAGGCACGACTGTACTTACATGCAAATACAATATCTTAGTAAGACTTACACATATCTTAAAATATAATTCTATCTTTATTCTACACATATAACTTACACTTAGCTGAGTTGAAAGTTCTTTAGTCAACCATTCTGGTTTCTTTAGAGATTGTCTGTGTGTGGACCAATCCGGGGAGCGACAGTGCGTTCAGGCAGGGACACAACTGCGCAATTTGTCTGAGAGGGAAGTGAGTGGATCGGACCGTTGGCACCACCTGGTTCAACATTGATGGCGTTGGGTCCAGAAGGACACCCAGCGAGTGTTAGGAACCATGCAAATCACAGACATCAGGGACACCCAGTTGGAAGACCCTCCCCCCGTCTTGTTTGGATCCAGCCTCACTCTACTGTCCCTTTTATTCTCCCATTGAAGGGGAAGGTGGGAACTGAACTGAGGTTACCTGTTAATCAGTTATCATAAGAGTTTTAAGTAAAAGTTGATGGCAATTGAAGGGGAAGGTGGGAACTGAACTGAGATTACCTGTTAATCAGTTATCAGTCTGGCTTGTCTGTTCAGGGGGAAGAAGAAGGGAGGCTTGAAGGGGAACCCTCCACACACACACCCCAAATCAGGATGACCAAGGTTTGCCTTTTGTGAAGAGGACCTGACCTTGGTGAGCATGGGGTTGGGGTGAGCAGGATTGAGATTTTATTTTAAAAAACCACCTAAATAAGATACAGTGGTGCCTTGCTTAGCGACGTTAATGCGTTCCGGAAAAAACGTTGCTAAGCGATTTCATCGCTAAGTGATATTAAAAAGCCCATAGAAACCCATTAAAACATGATTAATGCGTTCCTATGTGCTTAAAAACTCACCTTAAAGCGAAAATCCTCCATAGCGCCGCCATTTTCACTGCCTTAAGTGAGAAAAAACAGCGGGCGGCCATTTTGTTTTCCTGGTGGCCAATTTGAAACCGCCGATCAGCTGGCCAAAATGGGGGCTTTGCGATGATCGCTTCCCCATGATCGTCGCAAAGCAAAATTTTCCCATAGGGACCAAAACTCCGTCGCTAAGTGATTTCGTCGCTCAACGGAGCGATCGCTAAGCGAGGCACAACTGTACAAAGAAAACCGTACCCCCAAACACCACCACTTTGCACATGCTCAAAGAAGAACTGTGGTGTCATGGATGGAGTACCAGACTAGAAACGAGGAGGCCTGGATTCAAATCGCTGCAGGGCCAGGGAATCTGAGAGGAGAGAGAGTGGGGGGGGCAAGGCTACTTCAGCCACCTCTCGAAATCTCACTGACCTGGCAAACGTTGCGAGGGATCTGGGATTTGGTTCTTCCTTTTTGGTTCCAAAAGGAGCAAAGACACATCAACTCAGTCTCGCCCCTTCCTAGGAGAACAGAAAAATAGAAAAGATCAGCTGGGAGGCTTTGCATTCCATTCTGCTAATTTTAATCTAATTGTATTAGCTAATACAATATATTAATTGTATTTTATGATTATTTATATTTTATATTGTCTTATTTTATGTTGTAAGCCGCCCCGAGTAGACATGATCTAGAGGGGCGGGGTATAAATTAAATTAAATAAATAAATAAATAAATAAATAAATAAATAAATAAATAAATAAATTTGCGGATAAAGCAGATCAAAAATGTTTCCTTGTGAGATGTGCCTTCCTCATGTTTCAGGCAGCAGAACAAGAGGAACAGAAAGGCAGCCCACAAAGAAGCTACAGGGAGGGAGGGAGGGAACCAGAAAGCAACAGGAACCATGCTTCCCACAGACATGTGATGGAAGCATCAGCATGCAAAGTGGTATTCGTTATTTTTGTCACCTCAAGGATCCTAATGCAGGGGCCGTCTCCAAAGGCGCCCTTCAGCCTCTGTGCCCTCCGTGGGCCAAGGGCCCCGTGTGTCCGTGGGGTTGCCAACCCAAGGCAGGCATAGTTCAGGTCTCAGGACTTTTCTCACCGGCTGTCTTCCAACCCACAAACTTGCTTAGGCTTCGCTCTTTCCTTGGAGCTCACTGCCAACCTTGCAAGGGCTGGGAAAGGCACCCACCGAGGGTGGGGTGGGGGTCTTGCTCTGGGCTGCTCCTACTGGAAAGCAAAGCATTTTGCAATCATTTGGTCTGGAACGGACCCTTCAGAGCCATTCACTCCGCAAAAGGCCTGCCGGGAGAAAGAGACACCCCAGATCCAGAGGGGCTGAGTGGCCTTTTCCGGTCCTTCTTTCCCCCTGCCCTCCATGTGGAAGGACTGGAGCCTCTTCTGGCCTCTTTCCAAAGGCCCTTTTTCGCTCCACCCCATGGAGAGCCATGAATGGGAGGCAAGAGAGCAAATCCCTTGGAAGGAGGAGCGAGGGGGCAGGTCTTTTGCAGAGCCGATGGCCCTTCAGGAACCAAAGACCAGAACCATTTTGGCCGTGGGGGGAGGATGACTTCCAAGAAAAGACTGTTCCTGGGGAGATGGATCTCCCTTCCAGCCTCCGCTCCAGAAAGATCCCAGGGAGGAAAGTCCACCCCCTTCTCTGTTCTGATTCTCTCCTGCCTGCCTTTTGGGGAAAGAGGGTCTCTGTTCACACAAGCAACGCAACAGGGAAGCCGCCACCCCTCTTGCACTTGATCCTCAGCTCAGGATCTGGGCTTGAGAGGGATCCGGTTACCCCTCCTCTCTGCCAGATCATCCAGGAAATAGCATAGCATGGGCATATTTCAGGAAAATACAAACACAAAATACACACTCAAACCACACACAGAGAGACACACAGAGACACAGACACTGTGTGTGTGTGCGCAAAAGATCAAGAGGTCCGACAGACGTCCCCCCCCCTCGTTGGGAAGGCGCAGTGTGGTCCCCTCTGCCTTGCCAGCACCACTTTTCCTGCCTGCCCCCCCAAGTCACTGGGAATGGGGCCCCTCCCCCCTGCCCCCCTTTTCCTCTCCAGCCCCACCTGGGACTTTGGCCCTTTAAGGGAGGGAGGGGGGGGTGGGGGGGGGGGAGAGATGGAAGCGTTCCTTTGATTCCATCCATGGGGCTGCTCCAAGGATTCAGGGGAAGGCCAGGTCTCCTTACCCCCCCTTTACACACATACAGGCACACACACACTCGATGAAGCCCTCCTAATAGGGCCTTGCAGGGGCGGGGGGGTCTCCCTGCATCTGAGAGTGGCCATCTCACCCCCCATGCAAATCTCACACACCCCCATCCACCCCTCCAGCACCCACCTCGTGTGGAGGGAGGACCCACTGCTCGTGGGGAAGGGCCTGTCCCATCAACCCTTCAAGACCTCCTTGAGCCTCCCCTTGGATCCAACCTCAGATGGGGCTGATGGTGTTTGTTGTTCCACTTGGGATGTGTCGGACCTTCCTCCTGAAGTATAAGGGGCATAAAAGATAAAACATTGGCACAATACCCATGTCTCGCTTGTTAAAAATCTGTTTCTTCATTTAATGGATTTCTTTGATGCTGACTTGCTTAGCGCTACTCTCTATGTTCTACCACAGCATGATACATGGAATGATCATCTAAACCCACAACGTGAAACACCTCAAATTGTTTTTACATTATTTTGAATTCTATCTCCCAAAGTAGCTCAGATTGTTTCTGACACTGCTAAGTAATCTAAGGAATGACATCAAAATAATAAAATTGCAATAGACCCTCGATATAAAATTTAAAGTAGTAAAAGTTCAGCCACAGGGGAAGCTGGTGGGGGAACAGTGTTTTTTTTCCCCTTTATCAATGAATGCGCTCCGTCCTGCTTGGTTGCGGATTATGCTGATCACATGACTCCGTTGGTGCTTCCTGTTTAGCCCAAGATGCTGCATTTCTCCTACTCCCACCGAAGATCAGACTGGCTGTTTTCCTCTTCTCTTTCTTCCCCACCTTTATTTGTCCCCTTTCTCCTCCTCGGTCGGAATCATGATCTCTCTCCTCTAACATTTATTACTTGCTCTCACACCCTTTTCCAGACCTCCTTCTCCTGATGTATAAGTGGATATAAACTACCAGATTTTTTAGGAGACAGAGGTTCTCCACAATGTTTCTCCAGGCATGTATTTCTTGCATGTCTTGCATCTAGCCATTGATTCAGGCAATTTAAAAAAAAAAAACAAAAAAAAAAACCCTTCTTAGAAGTTTAGTTATTTTTTTTTACTTTGCTGGATTTTTTTTTTCATTTAACTGCAATATTCTTTGGAAATGTAATCTATGCTATGGTTAGGCAACAAACTGAATATCCATAAAGACTATTTTTCAATAAAAAAAATATTCTTAAAAAATCCTTAAGGAATGGTATTTTGAACAGCAAGTCTGCTGAACCTGCTTCCGGGGGGGGGTGGCAAGGCCAGGAGATTGCTAATAACAGAATCCTATCTTTCTCAGCTTTAGAGA